CGAAGTCAGTGAACTTCCAAAAGGCCTCGTGCTAAGTAGAGATAGGAATATACATATAAGGCTTAGAGGATCCACTCCCCTGGGCAATGTGGGATGTTACAGTGGACACCATTCAAACCATTGGTGGTGAAGGGTTTGGTATAGCCTATCAAAGATCAAAAGATAGTGATGAACGATGGGGGTTTTGTGCCAATCAAGCCTCCAAACTACCAAACTTAATCTTTTGATCTCAACAAAGCTACTGAGATTTATGAAGAATTGGTAAGAGCCATGGTCATTTTGCCCAACAACATAAAGAAGATGCCTAAGCCCAAGGAGCTTATAGGGAAGAAATACTGCAAGATCCACTAACTATAAGGATAAATAAATATGGCTAAATAATTAAACCGGATCATAAGAGGGTCATGTGGCTGTCGTTTTAGTACCCATATGGTTTGGAGTTTATTCTCTCAAGTTGCATGTCAGTTTAAACTTCAATTAGTTATCTATTTACATGTCAGAAACTCTCCATGAAATATCAGGAACTTGCTAATATCACGGATATAATGGCATATATAAGGTTATGAGCAGTAACTGGAGCGAAACAAGTCAAAAGAAACAACATACAAATTGTATTGTTTGTCCATTTGTTGTTTCTTTTCCAGAACATGGTAACATTTGCATGGGGCAATGGTTGGTGGTTTGAAATTGAAAACGCTGCGTACGTACGTGAAGGTTTCTCGGGCTTCACATGGTGATTGTGCCAATGTTTGTACACATCTAACCATGTTGCAATGTCACAAATGAATTAATTAATAGGAAAACTAATGAAAAAGGCTTGAAAACTTTGAGTTTTAACGAAAATGACAAAATAAAGGGTAAAGTGAATAGTACCAGGATTGATTTTTTAGTGTAAAAATATGGTTATTCGTTAAAGTGAACAGTACCATGGAGCTTTTCGTTAAAGTTTTTTTAATTAATAGGGTTGATGCATCACTTTTCAATGCATATATATCTTCACCTTCACAAGTTAGATGATCATATATGAACCCTAAAAAGTAAGAACAAGTATTAACAAGTCTAGTCGAAACATTTAGGGCCATATATGGAGCTGTGAATTTGGGCAAACGGTGCGCCAAAGATCGATATGTAGTAGCTAGAGGTAGGGTAGTTGAGGTCCCTATGCATGCATGAAGGTGCAATCATGAAAGATGACAACAATAACTAATGGAGAAGAGCTCAGCCATGAAGTTTAAGAAACTGAGACCTAGCTGTGAGTGTGAGATCATCATGTTATATACCATCGCTGGAATTTATATGTTTTAAGAACTAATGTAGATTTTGAAGAAGGGAGCTTTAATGAAAAATGCTTGAACTAACTTTAATCTAACCAAAAACCACCTTAAACTATTATTTAACCAAAAGGGCTTAAAATTAAATTCTAAGGACAAACTATTCATATAACAGGCCCTGCAAACATAAAAGCTCATGGGCTGAGCTGAAAGCCCAACACAATAAATACTTTTTTTCCAAACTTGCCCCTAACGGAAAGCCTGTTACATTTTTTATGATGGAGAAAGCCTGTTACCTTATTAAATATGAAGGTGCTGAATTGGTGCCCACCATCCCCGCTTCCATTTTCCTCTACCGCCCACCATCCCACTTTCATTATTCCAACTACCACACGTGCCAAACTAATAAACAAAACCAACCGTCCTTGTTTCACTATGGGGATGTAGAAAATTTGATTTTTCAAGTGAGCTTTAGAAGATTTTTGTTTTTTTTTTAATTTATAAAATATTGCTATTTTTGTATGTTTTTCTATTTCATAGAATATTGCTATTTTTGTATGTAAAAAGACTTAATATCGCAAGAATTCCTTCAATTAGTATGGAATTTAAACCATGCATCCATTTCTAAAGTAAATGAAGCATATATAATAATGATGATAGATTGAATTTGCAATCATTTTATAGAAGTGTAACATTTTTCGAAAATAAAAATGAGGGGAAAGGTGTGATATGATATTAACTAGCACTCAAATTAACCCTCTTTTTATCAATTGTAGTAAGTATGTAAGTAGGGATCGTTCTAGGCCGGGGATTAGGAGGGATTGCAAAATCACTTGAAAACTGACTCAAATACGTAAAAACAAGTTTAAAACACTAAACTAGACTCAAAGAATGCAAAACTAAACTTTAAAATACCAAAACAAACCAAAAGACTCAAAACAGCACCAAAACACTCAAAACTGCCTTAAAAACACTTTCTGGGCAGTTTTGAACACTAGACACAAACTTGGACGAAATTAGGTTTTAACTTGACTCAAAACACTTGAAAACACAAACTAACTTGACTTCTAACTAATATGACTCAACAAAGAAAAGGGGGATTGATTTTGGACGAATTTAAAAACAAAACAAAACTTTGTAAACTAGAACAGATTTTAAAACGAATTTGGCTTAAATGAATGGATGGAAAGCTAGCTAAGGGGTTCATCTCCACACATGTTATACTTGCATTCAAAACGATTTCCAATTGCTTTTCAATAACCCATGAATTCTCAACGCCCCAAGTTAATTAGGTCCGCTTAAATTAACCTTCAGATTTTCCTAACGTTATTGAATTGGATGATTGCATACGACAACCCAAAGCATTCCCCACAAGTCCCCTACATGATTGCATAATAGAGATACAAGCAAGAATCATTAAGTTCTATGAAAACCATAAGCATTGACGAAGCACTTGTTACTATGATTGCATGAAACTTATGCCAAGAATTTACTTAACGCGATTGAGATCATCAACCTTTACTACTTATGATTATAAGTCCATAACGATTAGGTGAAATTTCCTTATATCCTAGCATCAAATTCATGCATGCAAATTAAGTGTCGACCCTCAACCAACATACACAAATCAGTTTTAATTCTTGTAGATAAGTAAATTGAATTCACAACTTATGAAACGCAATTAGAAGTAATCAAATCATATAGCAAGCATAAACATGGTTTCGAATCCCCCCCTAGCCAAGGGGGGGGTTTAGTTCCTCATACTCGCAAAGCAAAGATACATAAATTTAGAAATTAAAATCCAAAGAAAGAAAACACCTAGAACGCTCCAACTTGGCAGCAAGCGCATCCAAGAATTCTCCTTCCTCCTTGCTACGGCAGAGAACTTTAGAACAGGTTTTGGGTGCTTTTTATGGTGTAGAATGGATGGGGAATGGTATGGAAAGGTGTAGGGTTGATGGGTGGTGCGGCTAGGGATGATTTTGGGCAGAAAATATGGAATATAGTGGTGGAAAGGTGCGGCAAAGAGAGCCTCTTTGTTTCTGACGTGAATGATGTATATGGGAGGTGATATATCCGGCCAAAAGGGTTTAATGAGTATATATAGGCACTTCAAAACCCTAGCAATCAGATTAGGGTTTCTAGAAGCCCAAATCCACCAGAAATTAGGTTAAAACAATCAGATTTTTAGTGGGAATAAGGCCTAAGGTGTGGCTAGGGTTAGGGTTTAGAGATGGGCCTTCTAGAATGCCTTGCAAGGCAAGGAAATCAGATATTCTAGAGGCCTAGGTGCGGCTAGGGTTAGGGTCCACAAGGAATTAGGGTTTAGGTCATCTAAAAGCCCAAAGCCAAGAATAGAAACTCTCGAAAATGGAAACCTCCAAGAATAGAAACTTCCAACTTTAGAAACTTTGGTTTCCAAATCTGAATTCTTTGTTCTTCACTTTCATTTCTTCATTTCTTAAGCTCCTTTGACCTTCAAACTCGTCCATTCCTTGTGCTCCATTAGCATACACTCCATTCCAGCTCAATTTTGCTCTAAAATGCTCCATTTTGCACTTCTTTGCATACTTCGTCTCTAAACCTGAAATTGCACGAAAATGACTTTAAACACTAAAATAACTAAAGAAAAACAACATAAATGCTTAAGAACAAGCCAACTAAGTCGCATAAATATGCTCCTATCAAGGTGATGATCGAGTTCTTTGCAAATTTGTGTAACAAATTCTGAGAAAAGAAAAGGAGAAGTGGCATAATTTTGCAGATTCGGAGGAAGAGAAGGTTAGGTGCTTTGAGAGCGAACGGTAGCAAAGCTTCTTGTTTGTTGGTGTGGCACTCTCGCTATATATTTTTTATGAATTAGTGAGACATGACAAATGCACACTTGTAATAGAAAATAACGCATTTGTCATGTTTATATGGAGAATTTACCACAAAGTTTTAGAAATAGCGTTTATTTTGTTCTATTTTATAAATAATGTGGGTTATTATGGTTTAGTTTCAGAAATAGTGTGAGTTATTTTGCTATAGTTCCAGAAATAGTGTGGTAATTTTGCTGTAGTTCCAAAAATAGTGTAAGTTATTTTGGTCTAGTTTCAAAAATAGTGTGAGTTATTTTGCTATAGTTTCATAAATAGTGTGAGTTATTTTCCTATAGTTTCATAAATAGTGTGAGTTATTTTGGTCTAGTTTCATAAATAGTGTGGTTTGGTCTAGTTTCATAAATAGTGTGGGTTATTTTGCTATATTTTCATAAATAGTGTTGGTTATTTTGGTCTAGTTTCATAAATAGTGTGAGTTATTTTGCTATAGTATCATAAATAATGTGGATTATTTTGGTCTAGTTTCATAAATAATGTGGGTTATTTTGGTCTAGATTCATAAATAGTGTAGGTTATTTTACAATAGTTCCAAAAATAGTATGGGTTATTTTGGTTCAGTTTCATAAATAGTATATTTATTTTGTTGTAGTTCCAAAAATAGTGTTTACTAGCAACGGTGCCAGCGCGTTGCTGCGGGATCGAAATTATATTTAAGATTATGCAAATTCATTCACTTCATAAGCAATGTTTGAGTCAAGAAATGAGCATTACAAATGTGAAAAAAAAAATGAATGAAAATTTAACTTGATAAAGAGATCTCAATGATCTGGCTCAATTTATCATTCAAGACTTGGTCGAACGGTAATTCGCTCACTCTCATCCCTAAACAAAAGAAAATCAAACCAAGTTCAGCAAGAATTATGCATGATCTTTGTGAAACTATATAATGAATGATACAACATTGGATGCAAATTTGAGCATTTTACAGAGAAGAAAGGAAAATTGGATGCAAAAAATATATCAATGGCGAAGTACATGTAAGTGGTGAGAGGAAGATATCTTGATTATGCTCTGATCATGTTAATTCGACAGAGAACTGTCCTCTTCTCTCTCTATATATTGTAGCCCATCATTTTCTTCAGCTAGTCATTAGTTCTACTGCCTAACTGACATACTGGGGAGAGAGTTGGGTATTTTGTCTTTGCTTGCATTGTTACAGCTCTAGGAGGCTCTCTTTGGCTATGATCTTGGTGTTTCATGTCAATCCCCTTCTTCTTGTAAGCATAGGGCAGAGGCTGAGGTTCTGAATTGAATGACTACCGTGTCATATGAAAATGTAGGAATAAAAAGTTGGGAAGGCAAGATGCAATAGGTAAACTAAAATTGACAGCCGCAAAAGAATGGAAATGGAAACCACTTGCTAGCATTCAACTAAACTTGACATTTCTATATGCACTCACAAAATGTTTCATCATTCAAATGATATTGCTTTTGAACCAAAGTATGTGGAAAAAAGAGTGGAAATCTGATTAGCAATTACCACTTTCAGCGGTGCCGCGGTGCTAAGCTTTACACTTTGAATCTCCAACAAATAAGCTCCTTTTTAACACTAAAATTAAAAATTGGTACATAGACAAAGAGTTAAGGATAAGATTAGGTGTAGCGGAGATGAGGATGCTTCGTTGGATGTGTGGGCACACGAGAAATGATTAGATTAGGAATGAGGATATCCGAGGTAAAGTAGGAGTAGCCGAAATTGAAGGAAAGATGAGAGAAAATCGGTTACGGTGGTTTGGACATGTGCAAAGAAGGCCTACTGACGCTCCAGTTAGAAGATGCGACTACGGGATAGAGGTCCAGGGCCAAAGGGGTAGAGGAAAACCTAGGAAAACTTTGGAAGAGACTCTAAGAAAAGACTTAGAGTACTTGGATTTAACGGAGGATATGACATAGACCGAGCGCAATGGCGTTCTAGGATTCATATAGCCGACCCCACTTAGTGGGAAAAGGCTTTATTGTTGTTGTTGATGTTGTATAGACGAAGAGTTAAGACTACCTTCCATAAATCAATAGAGAACTAAGATAATGTGACAATCCGCATGTATAACCTATGCGTCCATCGTTATGGGTTTCAGTAGAAATACCATATTTTCAAAATCACAGATGATTCAATTTTAACCTAAAACCCGAGACCATCTCCAGTTTGTGGAAGATCAAATTTCAATAATAGCCACACATGTGAAATAAAGAAAAGAGAACAGATCTCAGAGATTAATAGCTTACCATCAATGAAGATCTCCATAAGCACGGCCTGCCTAGACGCAGTAAATCACTCGACTCCTCCAAAATATCCACTGAGAGTACAGCACCAGCAATAGCACCAATCCAATTCAAATCCATATTGCTATGATAAAGAACTAAGAAAAAGTTCCTTATTACTACCCCAGATTTTATAAGTGTCATTATCCCAATCTTGTACTTGATCTTATACCAAGGTGTTGAAGCTAACATTTCTAATCTAAAAGCTTAGAAATCATAAAGCAAAGAGCATATCTTTTGTCTTGTAAGCAACCATGCCTATATAATCGAATTTTGCCCACCAAAGTGGTCTTACTAATGTTTATTCATAGAAAAGAAAAATGAATAAAAATAAAATAAGATAAACCAAAAACTTTTTCTTGGATTGAATAAATTAGAGGAGATTAAATAAAATAGACAACGGGAGTGTAAAAATCATTACATTTTGATCTGTCATATATGTGATTTATAGTATGATCATATCCTGTGAACCATATTTGATCTAGATGCTAAGTGGATGCCAAAGTTGTCAATCATTGACGGTGATGTCATTTTGTTGATTGATTTGTCTAATCTGGGATGAACATGTCGAGCGACATTCTAAGCCAAAAGCTATTGAAGGGCTTCCTAGATCATAAATTTTGTCGAAGAGGTATTCAGAATGTATACTAAGTGGAATAAATGTAATTAAAATTTACCTCAACACTGTCTTTTAGAGAACTAGCATCTTGGAGAGTTTTTGGTTCAACCTGAATAAAAAACCAACAAAATTTGAAATTCAAACAGTCACGATTTTTTCAAACTTGAAATTGAATTATTACAAAATGTATTTAGTGCTGTATATAATATCTTATGAATAAATGAATCACAAATGATAATATAGCTGTAAGCTGTTAAAAAAACTCATTACTCAAAACTCCAATTCTATCAGAACCCATTACTGAAAGCTCCAATTCCATCAAAACCCAGATGGTAAAAGTACAAACTGGTTACAAAATATGTTTAGTCTCATCCAATCAGTACTCCATTTGACGATAAGCAAATCAAATTATGAAAAGCAAAGTAATCAAACAGGCAAAAAATTAGAATCAAATCCTAAAACATTCTCATATTTGATTTTAAGTCAGCATCTACCTCATGTTCAGCTAATCCATTAAGAAAAATGATAAAGGTCATTGGGAATGAAAAGTCGTTTCATTTATAAGTGATCAGACCTTATAAATCTGATTTGGCAGACAGCTCCTCAGCTCTTTATGGTTGTAAATATCTCCATTCACCTAATGATTTTAAAAACAAACATCCTATCAGTAATCGAAAATTGGAAATTTTATCTATTTTTTTAAATATTCAATAAATTAAACCACAAAAAATTAAAAAATATGACACGACCGTACCATGACAACAATTGATTTGCCTTCACTGTAGAGAGGTTGGTCACCAGAAATAGGGTCAATAATGGCTAGCCTCTGATGAGCAAAGAAAGAATCTCCATGCTGGTACATGCCACTCCAATCAGGTCCACGGTGCATCAATCTATTAAATCCATCCATATAGATTGAATACCTGATTGGTATTCAAAAGGAAACAAAACCCCCAAAAATTTTGAAATTTAGAGTAGGATGGATCGCTTACCTTTAGTAAAAGCTCTCTACTGCAATTGCCTACATTCCATCATCAAATTGAAGTTCGTCTCAATTGATTTCTGCTGAAATTAAAAGAAAAAAGTAATAAACATTACTAAAAATAAAAGTAACTTCAAGCTACAGACAGTTTGACCTGAATGGCTTCAACTGAAGCTAAGTAGGCTTACAATGTGTGAATCAAAGGTATAAAGACATGCAATTCAGCTTTATACCAAAGGATAGACAAAGCACGATAGCTTGTTGCGAACTAATTGTTCAATCAAACTGAAAGGAAAAGTTGCAGGACAGAGATATTCAACTATTAATGTAGATAGAGAGAGATAGCTGATAGGGTAAATTAAAAAACGACTTGTCAATTTCATGTTCTTATCAGTTAATTTCATAAATTACTCTCACAGTGATTTTTTTTTTTTTTTAAAAAAAGGTGACAAATAGATACATATAAACAGTTAAAATATCACTCCACATAATATAAACCCTATGAGAAGAAAATAAAAAGTTGAAAAGTCTCCCTTGAGTATGATCGACAAAACCACAACAAAGGTAGCTAGTTATGGAAATATCATGCCACATGATTCGAATTAATTTATCATAACCATGGTCTGTAACACAGTGGAAATATCACGCTACATGATTGGAATTAATTTATCACTAATCTAAATTCTAAAATGGTAAAAGTGAGAAAATATACCTATCACCATGCTCGCTGTGCTTTGTGTAATCTAAGTTCCACTGTGTGACCGTCTGCACAGCTGAGTAACCTTCGGTGGCGAACGCCCTGAAAAGGTTCAAATTGGCAGCATACTGCCAATTAGAATTGAAAGGCAAAAATATCATTCCACATATTTCCACTGTGCTACAAATTCACTACTAAATAGCGAAAAAATTCGAACTTGAGCTCTCAAGCTATCTTTTTTGAAAATTTCAAGAATATAGTGAAGAATCAATATTGGTCCCTCATAACTCAATTGAACCAAAACACCTAAGCAACACAGAAAACAATTTTTTTACGAAATTGTGCCTAATATTTCTTTTGCCATATACGTACAACCAGCAATTGGGAAAATGCTAAGTATACAGATATAAAATGTGCAAAATGAAAAGTGTTAGTAAACATTGAGTAATGTGGAACATCGAGCAATAAAAAACTATGGATTTGATGCGAAGTTTGTGAAATGAATAAATTTGAGATTTCAGTTATACATATTGTATTTTGGAACTTGTGTTGATGCACAAAATCAGTGAGGACTTTGGTACAACAGAAAGTGTTAAGTTTGTGACCTTCGCTAGATTGCTTCGGTCACTAGTGTGGATAAGTATGTAAATAGATGGAGACAGGGAAGCATACACAAGATGTACGTGGTTCACCCAGATTGGCTACGCCCACGGAGTAGAGGAGTTCTCATTAATTGTGAAGGGTTTACACAAGTACATAGGTTCAAGCTCTCCTTCAGTGAGTACAAGTGAATGATTTGGTCCAAATGACATTAGGAAATATTGTGAGAGAATGATCTCTATTTATAGAAGAGAGTTTCTAGTTTCATTCTAACATTGACACGTGTCGCGTTGTGATTAGCTTCTGATGTTGACACGTGTCGCGCTATGATTGGCTTCTGATGTCGACACGTGTCGCACTGTGATTGGCCTCCTGGTTGAAGGGAAACTCTTCTGGGTCTTTGACAGTATAACCTTGACCGGTGCTCAGTAGTTTCGGGATTGGTCAAGTATGGTACAAACAGTGCTCCCCTAAGTTCTCGAGTGAGGGAAGCTCCTCGGTTGGGGACTTGCAAGATCCAAGCCATTGAGTAATTACGAAACTTCTAAGTACCGAAGTGTGGTATCATTTTCACTTGCCTTATCTGTCTCATATGTAGATGTGGTATCTTATCTGGAAGTACTTTTCCTCTATCCAGGGGTGGTATCTTTAATCGATGAAGATGCACAAGGTAATGTATCAATTTCACTTGAAGCTTACTTGTAGTTTCGGGTTTGGTCAAGTGCGATACAAAACCCTATAGTAGGAGTCCCCCAAGTCGCCGAGCTAGGAGATTTGCCGAAAGAGGTAACAGACAAGGTAAGCAATCAGACTTCCAAGCAAGCAACCTGGATCGGAGGTTCGACTTCGGCTTCCGGTTGATTGTTCTCCTTCTCCTTGTGTCGTAAATAGCAACAAGGATAAGGAGAAGCAAATGGAGAAGAGATGATATGAGATACTTTTGCTTTTGAAGAAGTAACTTTCCACAGGCTTATTCTTGAACTGGGTTGGAGGGTTTTCTGGTTTCCTCCAGAGTATAAGGCCGACTCAAGAATTTGAGGGTTAAAACAAGTCCATCAAATCTAGAGTACGTTCGACCCTGATGATATGGGATACTTTTGCTTTTGACAAAGTAGTGGATGTATCGGCACGTGTTCTGTTACGCTTGTCTCCACATGCTTCCTTGTATCCTTCTCACTTGCCCTATCTGTTCCTCAGGCAGATGTGGTATCGTCTTTGGAAGCATAAGATGTTGAAGATGAGTACTCGAGAGCAATGTCAGGTAAGTAATCAGGCAAGGGGTTCCAGGCAGTCAGTTCCTGACTGGAAGCTTGATTCCAAGTGTTGACTGATTGCTCTCTTTCTCCTTATCTTGCAGGTAAGAACAAGGTCAAAGGAAAAACAGGGAAAAAGCATGATATGAGATACTCTTGCTATTAACCCTGATAATATGAGATACTCTTGCTCTGGTGTGGCCGGTTTGTATAGGTATTATTGAGGGGGAAGAAAGCTGAGTATTTCGAGAGGCTTCGTTGGGAGTGCCTTCTCAGATATGAGGAAGGGTTGAGCATTTTTGCAAGTATGCCTGTCCGTGGAGGATGAAGGTCGACATATATAGAAGTCTCCCTAACAACAAGTAGGAATCCTATTCCTTTACCTTTCTTGGTCGTAGCATGTAGTGGGAGCTGCAAGCTTCACGTGTTTTAACTTTGTCAGAGCACTTTGAAAAAGTGGTATGTGGTATATCGAAAGCTGATGTTGCGTGTGAAGATTGCAGACAAGCTTTATCCAAGGAAATCTGGCTTTCGAAGTTCGGAGAGCGATGCCTCTTCGGTTTTCGAACAAGCAATCCTGTCGGGGATCTGGCTCTCGAGATTCGGATAACGGTGCCTCTTCGATTTTTGAGAAAGCAATCCTGTTGAGAGTCTGGCTCTTGAGATTCAGAGAGCGATGCCTCTTCGATTTTTGAGAAAGTAATCCTGTTGGGAGTCTGGCTCTCGAGATTCGGAGGGTGGTGCCTCTTCGATTTTTGAGCAAGTAATAATGCTATTCTTTTACCCTTCTTGGTCATAGTAATATAGTGGGAGCTGTAAGCTTCACATGTTTTAACTTTGTCAGAGCACTTTGAAAAAATGGTCTGTAGTATCTGAAAAGCTGATGTTGCCTGTGAAGATTGTAGACAAGCTTTATCCAAGGAAATCTGGCTCTCAAAGTTCGGAGAGCGGTGCCTCTTCGGTTTTCGAACAAGCAATCCTGTCGGGGATCTGGCTCTCGAGATTCAGAGAATAGTGCCTCTTCGATTTTCGAGAAAGCAATCCTATTAGGAGTCTGACTTTTGAGATTCGGAGAGTAATGTCTCTTCGATTTTTGAGAAAGTAATCCTGTTGGGAGTCTGGCTCTAGAGATTCGGAAAGTGGTTCCTCTTCGATTTTTGAGCAAGCAATCTTGTTGGAAGTGTTTTCTCGAATGTGAGTAAAGGTTGGGCATTTTTGCCAGTCTGCCTTGCCACGGAGCACGGAGGTTGACACACATTGGGACTTTTTAGTTATCAGGCAGAGGTGTTGTTCCTTTACCCTTGTGGGTAATAGTAGGGTAGATGGACCTTCAAAATTTATGTGTCTAAACTTTGTCAGAGATCTTTGGCAAAGTTATATGTGGTACCTGAGGAGCTGATGTTGCGTGTGGAAAGTGGTGCCTCTTCGGAATCTGGAGGGTGGTGCCTCTTCGATTCTTGAACCAACGGCCTTGTTGCCCTTTCTTTTATAAGGGCACCAGTTGTGTGCAAAAAGTACATTCAGAGAGTTATTGCTTGTAGGAATTTTCCCCTTACTTTAGAGATTTATTGCACCTCATTTCTCCTTCATCATTTTTGAGAATGTTTGGCCCATCCGACCGTCGTTTTGACTTGAACTTTGGTGAAGAGGCAGCTATGCCTTCTCAAGACAACATATGACGCCTATCCTTCTTATCCCCTACTGGTCCTCTTACCGTTGGGGACTCTATGATGAAGAATGATATGACAGCTGCGGTGGTGGCTAGGAACCTTCTCACTCCCAAAGATATCAGACTACTTTCGAAACGGTCTGATGAGTTGGATGTTAAGGATTCTCTGGCTCTCAGTGTTCAGTGTGCAGGTTCTGTGTCTAATATGGCCCAACGCCTATTTGCTCGAACCCGCCAAGTTGAATCATTGGCGACTGAAGTGATAAGTCTCAAACAGGAGATCAGAGGGCTCAAGCATGAGAATAAACAGTTGCACAGGCTTGCATATGACTATGCTACAAACATGAAGAGGAAGCTTAACCAGTTGCAAGAATCTGATGGTCAGATTTTGCTTGATCATCAGAGGTTTGTGGGTTTGTTCCAAAGGCATTTATTGCCTTCGTCTTCTAGGGCTGTACCGCGTAATGAAGCTCCAAATGATCAACCTTCGGTGCCTCCTCCTTCTGGGGTTCTACCCAGTACTGAGGCTCCGAATGATCACCCTCCGGTGCCTACTCTTTCTGGGGCTCTGCCGACTGTTGAGACTTCTCATGAGCAACCTTTGTGAAGGTTCCCTCTTGTTTGTTTATTTTGATTCATGTATATGTACATATTTGTAACTTATCGGAGATATCAATAAACAAGCTTTGCTTCATTTCAACATGTTGTGTTAAATACACCAAGGCCTTCTTCACTAAGTTCTTTGAAATTTTTCTTTTGTTGAAGCCTGTATGTTGAAGCTTTGAGAGTGAAGCGTGTATGTTGAGGTAGTGCTCCCTTAATTTTCCAAGTGAGGAAAACTTCTCGGTTGGAGACTTGAAAAATCCAAGTCACTGAGTAGTCGTGAGACTTCCGAGTATCAAGGTGCAGTAGCATATGGTAGAAGTCCCCCAAGTCTCCGGTCGATGGAGTTGACGAATGAGGCATTTCCTTTCTAAGTGGTAGCCCAAAACCCGAATTTCCGAATTTTGAATTTTCGAATTTCTAAATTTTTCAATTTTCGAATTTCCGAAAAAAAAATTTAAATATATATATATATATATATATATATATATTAAAGCTTTGTAGGTAAAGTTTTGGTGTTGAAACTATGTAGGTGAAGCTTTGTTGGGCACCATGAATTGATTTTGCTTCACACTATCTTGATCAAGATAGTGTGAAGCTTTTGTATTGAAGTTTTGTGGGTGAAGCTTTTGTAGGTGAAGCTTTGTTGGGCACCATGAATTGATTTTGCTTCACACTATCTTGATCAAGATAGTGTGAAGCTTTTGTATTGAAGTTTTGTGGGTGAAGCTTTTGTAGGTGAAGCTTTGTGGGTGAAGCTTTTGTAGGTGAAGCTTTTGTGGGTCAAGCTTTTATAGGTGAAGCTTTTGTGGGTCAAGCTTTTGTGGGTCAAGCTTTTGTGGGTGAAGCTTTTGTAGGTGAAGCTTTTATGGGTCAAGCTTTTGTGGGTCAAGCTTTTGTGGGTCAAGCTTTTGTAGGTCAAGCTTTTGTAGGTGAAGCTTTGTTGGGCACCATGAATTGATTTTGCTTCACACTATCTTGATCAAGATAGTGTGAAGCTTTT